GTACAAATGCACCCTTCCTTCGGCCAGTGATGACCCTATTGTAGTTTGCCGAAAAAAAAATTCCTCGGGTACGAAGAACACTGTGGGTATGTATTTAATATACAGGTATACTTCGATATAACGTAACTGTCACTTTTGACTTCCATCGGCAATGTCTCGCTAAAAACAATTGAATCATATACATTTTTATTACCAATAGATTGGAGATTATCTCATCTGTCCGATGTTGTTATTATTTTGCTTGTTTGAATGATCGTTTGCTAGAAATCGGGGCCCCTGAATAGTAGTTATTGTTATGTAATCACGTCTTTTAATTTTCAGTAATATTATGTATCAGTGCAATGGCAGATCCGAAAATGGCGAACCTTACCATACAAAGCGGGGAAAGTATACCAGGACCTCTAATATGCGTGATTCTATCAAAGCTCACATATTGAATTACGGGCCAACGACCGACGCTATCTTCCATCAGATTTATCGCAAAGGACAATGCACAAGCATTACCAGGATACGCATACTAACCAAGTTAGTTATCCACTCTACTCACGAGTTCTTAACGAAATGAATATATCATTCGTTAAGCTGGGTCACGAAGAGTGTGAGCACGAAAAGGTCAATGTCAACAATTCATGAATGAACCAAAGAATGTATCCTCTGTTCTGACTACAGTAGGCTCGCATATATGGAGATACAGTTACCGTAGGCCAATTGGTAATGGCAGTTGACATCCAGAAGGTAGTTACATATTTATTGTTTTTAATCTATAGATCATACATACATACATACATATATACATACATACATATATACATACATACATACATATCATCATACATATAATCATATATGACTTAAAACTATACCTTTCCAATTGGCGTTGACGGCACCGTCGAAAAATTTTCTCTTTCAGCAAATATAGACAGTTTCTTATGAGAATTTTCGGTGGAGTGAAAGGATAGTACAAAGTCCGCCATGTTTCACGCACAGTCTGACGTTTGCTTATGGATTTTCTCATAGGAGTAAAGAGCTACAGAGTCGCCGTCAACGCCAATTGCCTCGGCTGGACGGGCAAAAAACGATTGTTTTTCCCAACGGAGTTTAGCTTTCAACCAGACATTTGCGCCAGTCGGGCCATTTGCTTGAATATTTCCAGTTGTTGCCTACATCTGGCCAGAATATGTCAGCGGTCGTAGCAGTCCTGACATTACCAGTTGCTGCTTTAAGTTCATTCTAAACTATGGTCATCTCGAGAAGTTTACGGTCTGGTTAGAGAACTGTTCTGCACAGAGTAAGAATTGGAATTTTGTCTGCATCTTATTCTGCTCATTAACAAGATGAATTTCAATGTAAAGGAGATTGTACTCAAATATTTTGAGTTTGGCCATACATTCATGGCAGCTAACAGTTTTCATGTTGTGGTCGAAGGTTCAATGTGACATGATCATGTAGTGGACTTCGATGATTTCAAGAAAGCCGTTGATAGAGCCAAAAAAACAGATTGAAGGACTGGGCATGAAGGAATCGGATTTCTTCAAAACGGAGCTGACTGTAACTCAATATACGCTGAATCAACTACATTCGCGGCCGTATATTGAGGACATTCGTATGATGAAATTCACCAAAAATAGATACGAAGTTGGTTATTCAGATGCCGTGAACGGCACTCAGCTGACCTACTGCAACCTTTTATCATAGAAACAAAAAAACAATTGTTGTAGTTGATAACTTTTTGCTGAATGAGTAGAATGAGTAGAAAGCTCCTCGAGGAATCCGAGAACAACGCAAGAAATTGTTGTTTTCCGTGTTACTTCCGGTTGTTGCAGAAGACAAGCAGTCTTTCTTTAAAAATATGCCTACCATGAAAAATTTTGACGCATAGTTACTTTACACCTTGGACTGCAGACTCACTTTCAGAATCCACTACAATGACATCATCTCCAGAGCTAATCGACAATTGGGCTTTATTTTCTAAATTGCCGACGAGTTTCGTGACCCGCTATGTCTCAGGTCACTCTACTGCTCGCTTGTGCGATCCTTATTGGAGTCAAGTTCAGTTGTTTGGTGCCCTTTCCATGCTAGCTGGATCACTAGAATTGAATCCGTTCAACGCAAGTTTGTGAGATATGCTCTTCGTTTCCTCAACTGGTGTGACCCAACGAACTTGCCACCGTACGAGGAGCGTTGCCGTCTCCTGGGAATCGAGCCATTAGAGGTGAGACGGACGGTCGCTCAAGCTATGTTCGCTGGAAAGCTGCTTACAGGTGACATTGACTACCCAACACTGCTGTCACAGCTAAATATGTATGCCCCTGAGAGGTCTCTTCGTCAACGCGACTTTCTGTTTTTGGAACCACGGAGCCGGAATTATACCCAACACGAGCCAATTCGAGCAATCAGCCGGCAATTCAACAACTTTTTTATATGTTCGACTTCAATGTATCAGCTGACGTGTTTCGTCATCGGCTACTTGGCCTTTTCCGTACCGTTGACCGTAACTATTTAATTTAAGTTTTATTCATTTAGACAGTATTTGTCAGTTGAATTTTTCAATAAACAATAAACAATAAACAATAAACATCATTAATTTACACCAAATATTTTGATTTTTATTCAATTATTTTATTTTTAAATCACCGATTAAATTAAACTTCTATTACGGAAAATATATGAGAAATTTGTGTTTCAATATAAATTTTATTTTCACACGCATTTTATTCAAATGTGCCATGGCCAAAAGTAAAATGGGACAGTTATGCGTAGAACGGGGCAGTGTTCCTATCCCAAAAAATATTGTTGTGCTCAGATAACGAAGCCCTGTCAGGTGATGTAAAGCTCGATTTAAAGTAAATCTGGACGCACGGTTTAATACACCATTGGAATAAAAAACGTTTGACAGACATTTGTTGATGTTTCATTGACGAAGAAATTGTTGAAAAGTTTTTCTCGATTGATCGACGCATCCCGAAATTACGGATCATGGAACTTGAGAAAAGAAAATTAATTGTTCACAAACATCTAGAGAACCCTTCGTGGTCTGCCTCAAAAATTCCCAAAGTCAACGGCGAGTCTTGTAATCAAACGTTACAAGGATACTCTGAGTGTGGATAGAGCACAGCGCATCTATCATAAAAGTGGCACTAGGGACAAAGAGCTGAGGAGAAAGGTGTTGAGGAACGTGAAAAGCAACCCAGGTGGCTCCATACGTGATTTGGCAAAAAAAAATACGATTCCAACTTTTCCACCGTGCGTAACATCCTTTCAAGAGAAGGATATCAGTCTTTTTGTGCCAGTAAACATCCGAATCGCTCCCTGAAAAAAACTATTAGTGGCCAAAAAGCGAGCACGATTACTATACGAACGAGTTTTGACGAAATTTGATGGCTGTATTTTAATGGATGACGAAACATATGTCAAAATGGATTATAAACAAATTCCCAGACGAAAATTTTACCTGACAACTGGTCGTGGGGATGTCCCTTCCAGGTATATTTTTTTTTTCTTATAAGTTTGCTCGGAAACTACTGATTTGGCAAAGAATCTGCAGTTGTGGCCTTAAAACCAAGGTTTACATTAAAGAGTGTCTGAAAAAGCGAATTTTACCCTTCATTCAGCAACACAAGACCAACGTTATGTTTTGGCCAGATCTAGCCAGCTGCCACTACTCTAAGGAGGTACTAGAATGGTATGCTGCAAACAATGTTAATTTCGTCACCAAAGAGATTAATCCTCCGAATTGCCCTGAGTTCAGACCGATCGAAAAATATTGGGCAATTGTCAAGCGAAAACTTCGAGGATGCGGTAAAGAAATGACAAATGCACAACAAATGCGTTTAAAGTGAAATAAGTTCACCGGTACAGTGTCATCAGCAGCTGTGCAGATCATGATGGCATCGATCACAAGTAAAATGCGACAGTTCGTTCGAAACGGTGAAATGTAATAACTTGTTATATATCGTTTGAAAGTTGAATAAATACCCGTTTGTTTGACATTTTGATCAACCGTGTATGTTGTTTAATTCTTGAGTTATGATCACCAAATTTACTTTGGATCGGACTTTATAGTAACCGATATATTTTTCAAAATTAAAGAACCCAATTGAAGATTGTGAGGCTTATACCAACAATCAATACGAAACTAACGATTTTAAATTGGCTCACCACTTTAGTAGCCTATTGGTCCCAAGCAAACGATTAACGTACCCTATTCTAGTTGAAATTCTATTACTACACTATGTTTGTTTTGATTCGCTATGAAAGTTTGACAGATAACATCAGGGGTGTGTGGATTCATGCAGAACATGCAGGGGTGAGTGAAATAGCTTGGGACTACTTGGGACCGTTGTTCTGGTACTGAGTGAGCCAAAAATAATAATGATTTTCTTTGGGACTCAGTGGTCTTAGAGTTACCTCTATGCTTATACAGTGATGGAAAAGTTCGCAAAAAATCACTATGACTCACGATTTTTTTCCCTTGGTGAACTTCGTGAAATATCGCGAACTTTTCCAACACTGGGCTTATATATTGTTCCAAAGTTCTTTTTGAGATTTTATACTTCAAAGAGGCTCATACCATCATTTAAAATTATTAATTGTTCTTAAAATGTATTGATTATAGAGTGCCCACTATTGGGCCATAGCATTTTAAGCAGGCAGATTTGACATGAAGTTTTGAAAAATTCGAAACACCTTTCGATGTGTTTTAATTTGAATTGTATTTATGATACATCAAGATAATGCCATAAACTCGCAGTGAGGTGTACGAACTTTTGTAAAATTCACGTTATGGAATACATAGAAAGAACGCAAAAATCGTTAGGGTGGCACACTTGCCCATAGATCCCCTAACGGCCAATACATTTACAGCGCTGCTATCTAATCTCGCTTGCCGTGTGGCGGCAGTGTTTTATCAGATAACGATAGCCGCGGCCACCGATTATGAGTGTGGAGTACTTACAAAATTCTGCATTTCGATCGAAACTGCCAGTTTAGTTCGTCGTCGCGTTTCGAAAGGATCACTTCTCATCGCTGCCGTCATTTTATGGCATTATTGGTTATGAGATAAGTGAAACATAGCTTTTTATAGGTGGATAAGGTTTGATTGATTATCAGTGTGAAACGGAAGTTTATTCCTTTATCCAAAAATGGCAAGGACAATCAGTGCGGGAGTGATAGTGCTTGTACTGTGTATTTTGGGTAGTACTAACGGTCAATTGGTTGGTAAGTAGCAGCTTGACGAATGATATCATGGAAAATGGGTGCGGTTCAATCGAATGATACGATGCAACGACGATTGAATGCCAAAACTAAGTCAGGCCATGTGATATGGTGATTGCATAATGTCAGCTTCTGTCTGATATTGAATTAAAAAATAATAATGAAGGAATCGAATCTTATATAAGTGCAGTGCAGGCTAGTTTTATATGAATCAACGGTTGATTCATTCATTTAAATTGGTTATACTTTAACAAAAAAAAAAAACAAGGTAGATTACGGTCCAAGCAATTTGATACGAGTTTCGATAAAGCCGGTAACAGAACGGGCAAGTGCTGAATTAAATTCATCATGATAACGTCCAATTGCCGTTGAAATTTGTCGTGGCTCAATCAGTTCTCACGAAAACATGAAAGAATAAATAACTGTTGCGTCGAATCATCGTTACTGCACCGTTATTTATTTCGAGTTACGTTCACAACGCGATAAGATAAGAACCGTAGATACTTACCTGTTATTTATTATTTGACCCCACACCTAAATATTCTGTTTCGTTTTACCAATGTATGCTTACGTTGTAGATAGGATATGCGCGAGCTCCAAGTTTTCCGAACAATGCCTTCAGCTTCAACGGGGCAATTCGGAAGTGGTATGCGTCACCGTTCAGGACAGGTATGGGCCTTAATAAGTACTTGTAAACAGTGTGACTAATTTCCTACTAAATCATTGAAACAGTATCGAGTGCGCCCAACGGATTCGTAATGGCACCGCCGATATGGGAATCTTCAGCGCGGAAAGCATGCTGCAGTTGGCCACGCTCGCTTGGGGTGAAATCACCGTTGTGAAGGAGCTCCGACACCAGGAGAGAACGCGCGAGACGGTTGACTTCCGTTCGGTGGTGGTGGTGTCCTCTCGGCATCAGGGAGGAGTCGATGGGCTGCGTGATAAAAAGTTCTGCCATCCGGGATTGCACTACGGTCGACAGCAACGGTGGAGTGAACTGTTCCTGAAGCACTTTGAACGGATGGTCGTTCCTGCCGACTGTACGGATCTTTTTAATGCAGCGGAGATCGAAACGGCAGCGCTGTCCAAGTACTTCCAGTCTGCCTGTCGGCCGGGCAAGTGGTCCAATGTACCCCAGGAGGATGCGGAATTGAGTGAGTATCAGAATGTTTTCATCATTACAGCACAGTGCACTATGATTGTTCCAATTACAGTCAACTTTCTACAACTCGATTGTCAGAACTTTGGGATTATAGGGGAAATGGATATAATTTCGGCCTAAATGTCCCTAATTTGGGCCTATACATACATTCAGCAATCGACTAAATTTTCATTAGTGACCAAAAATATCCATTAGTACCGTCCCTATGACGCGTTCATCTAGATAAAATTGATAAATAGCAGCTTTTTAGCTATGGGCCCAATGTTAGATCCATAGGCCAACATTAGAGCCATTTTCCCTAGAACAGCAATTCTTTTCATGGAAAATCACTTGATGGTTTCGTCTTAGAAGTTAAAAAAGGTGTGCTTTACTGTGGTTGATAGTTCAACACCGAGTTGGTGAATATCATCGCCATATGGAGAGTTGACTGTAAAATCAAAATCAAATTATTGGTTTCTCAAAATCAACTCAAAGGGTTTTCATCTAGCATTGCTACAGCATTTTAGGGAGGATAGAAAAGGGAGCCTGCAATGGTTGGTTTAGATAGGGTCTAGGACAGTTCGTTTGGCCCCTAATCGTAGACACTCTTTAGTTATGATCGGTCATGTATAAAGTACAGGGCTCTACATTTTCGAAGCTCAAAAATGAACTCGAGGTGCATATAACGTGTTCAACGCATCATTTCTATAACACCTTGCTAGACTATCAACACGAAACGAAAATGAAAAAGAAACACGCTTAGAACGAAAGGTTGGCTGTGGATTTTCTCTTAACTTCCAATGAAAATAACGTCGATTATCGATATGAAACGAAACCTCCTTATGGCTTACAATCCCTTTCACCGGCACTTTCAATTAGTTTAATATGCTTCTTTTTCTTCGCATTTCAAGCTTATTGCATATCACATATTAGCTTATTGCGTGCTCTCAACTTAGTGTTCTAGATGCACTTCCACAGTTATTAATTGAGAGCTTTGCCTGTACCATTTTTGCATTGGTATAATTGTGTGGCAAGTCCAATCATACCCAACAAACAATTCAAAGTCACAAATAAGCATACACATTGAATAAATGCTGTATAACAGTGTACAATGCTGAATAAAACAGGATGTCGAATTATGTGCTGAAAAAAACTCATTGGGATCGATAGATGCGCTTTTATTCCGCCGTTTGCTCTGATATGAATAATTTCCTTATTAAAAGCTTTATAAACGTTGAATGTCTTCCTTATTCAGAACCAGAAGTTTGATCTAATAACAAACTGAATAAGTGTAATTTGCACATACATTGTCGCTTTTATTCGAATGTTTTCAAATGATTGAATAAAATGCTTTATTAAACGTCTTATAAATGTTTTCCAGCTCCATTATTAGATTTCATTGCATTCCTTTACAATATTGCTGTATAAAGGTGAATACACTCAGCAAAATAGCTCTTATACCACCCAACAAACAATTCAAAGTCACAAATAAGCATATATATTGAATAAATGCTGTATAACAGTGTACAATGCTGAATAAAAAGAGTTGTAGAATTATGTGCTGAAAAAGCTCATTGTTCGACTGTTTGCTCTGATCTGATTAATTTACTTATTAAAAGCTGTAAAAGTGTTAAATGTCTTCCCAATTCAACGCCAGAAGTTCGATCTAATAACAAACTGAATAAGTGTAATTTGTACATACATTGACACTTTAATTCGACTGTTTTCAATTGATTTAATAACATGCTTTATTAGACGTCTAATAAATGTTCTCCAGCTCCTTTATTAGATTTCATTGCATTACTTTACAATATTGCTGAATAAAGGTGAACACAGTCAGCATAATAGCTCTTATACCACTATGCTTCCATGTTGTAATCACATGATTTGTAAATGCTTTAAAAACGACGTGTTAGATTCATTATTCGACAATACTGATTCAGTCTCACAACAAGGCGAAATCAGTAGAGTAGTGGTTACCGTTTCCGCTTTCCAATTAGAAGGTAGTGAGTTCAATCCCAGGCTCAACCCTTTTTTTTATTTGTGTAGAACATAATTAGTTTAAATAGTAATCATCGATCACATGACTCACGATAAGAATGCATTGATCTAGTTTAAAATATAACCGAACATCCTTTCTTTCGACTTGGAGAGGTGAAGAGGCAACATTGGTCTCATTTAAAACAACGATGAATGAATTAATCATTCCCACAGGGCCTTGAAGGAGCTAGAGTTGCGATCGGGTGTGCTGATAGGTATTTACTTTCAAGCAAGCTTTTATTGATTATTGAGTTACCCATATGATGAATTCTAGGATAGCTCAGATTACAAGGCAAGCGGCTGGTGATCGGAAGGTACATGGTTCGATTCCCATAAAACGGCATGTATAAGTATTTAATAAATTTTCTAATATCTGTGTGATGCGAGCCAGGTCAGCAATATTGAAATACAATACACTTAAGAAACACACACACCCTTCACACCCCTTCCCTTGTCCCTGTCCCTCTTATTTTCGGATTAATTTTCCCACGTTGAATAATCGTTTAATAAATGTATAATAATGTCTAATTAAACGTTACTTCACATGAGAATCAAGCGTATACAGAACATCACTGTTTTAAGGGAAGCAGTGATGTCTAATAAACGCTGAATAATCAAAAATTTTATCGTATAAACTCTGTTACAACTCATATAAGTCGAATAAAAGCTTCTCGACATACCTTATACAACACCAGTAGTTCAATGCTGTGGTTGAATAAATTCTCCAGATTTGTGTGAACAAAGCCTGAACAGAAGTTATTATTAAAAATAGTACAAGTACTATTAAGCATGCAGTTGAATAAAATGGCCAAGAAGTCGTTTCTTCAATAGACGATTGTTTGTTGGGTACTTCTATGCCCAGGGAAGTCGAGAAATTTTCCAACCCGAAAAATTCCTAGACCGGACCGGGAATTGAACCCAGCCACCTCCAGCATGGTCTTGCTTTGTAGCTGCGCCTTTACCGACTGAGCTAAGGGAGGCCTTGCTTTTTCGCTATGGGATCGGAAATCGTGTCTCCAATTTATTCCACGCGCTTATGCCTTCAGTAACTATTTTTTCCCGGTATATTTCATTGATACAACAATTCGGGTGGTATCGTCTGTTTTTGGTAGCTTTAAATTCAATAAATTTCAACAGACCGGAACGGGAGACTCTTCATAAGCGGAATTGTCCTGCTCCTTGCTGTGGTGGATAGTTTAGCTGGAAACTGCAATGTGCGAATAAAAATCAATCAAAATGAATAGTACAAAAGTACATCCTTACCATGCAATTCATTTGTAAAATTTGTATTAATCTTCTCCTAAAATTTTGCGAAAACACAATTAAAAATAGTGAAGTGAAACAAATTATTTGTGTTTGTTTACAATCGCTTCCATTGCATCTTCCTGATGCAAAGAACAATACCATACAGAAGAAGAATAATAACATGGTATTTAGAACCGCAAAATATTATCAGTAAAAAACTGCATTCGATTTTACTACAAATGTAATGTGGTTGAATGCAATCGAAGAAAATGGTTTGCGTCATCAGTTGCATGACGCATGGTAGATTCAATCATTATAAAAGTTACTATCAACCGTTAATATCAACTAGAGTTAATGGCAAAAATACTATTTAATTTCTGGCTAGTGCATGGTAATTTTTACTGAATTGCAATATATAATAAGATTTCTCGTAATGTTTACTATTTTTGAACATGAAAGTAACGAGCCAGACGGACTACGTTCAAAAACCCCTAACCCCTGGTCAAGCCACGGAGGTCGTCTGGGGTGGGCTTCATCCGCCTCTTTTATGGGTTAGCTCACCTTTTAATTCTCAGGGTCTCCAACGACCTCGGGAGGGCTCAGAAGCAACCGATCACTTACCTTACACATCAACAACTAACCACCGAACGGACTACAAACCCTCATCTTCCGAACAGGCTGGCTCTTTCGAAAAAAGGAATATTAATCAATAGAGAGAGAATTTAATTTCAAATGTTTATTTGAGCCGTTCTGTATAACCGTTGCAGCGCTGGGTCCCGTTGGTGGTGGGAGTCGGAAGAATGGATGGGGAATGAAACGTACCTTTCGCAGGATTAGCCGAATAGTGACGGCGGGCTTCTATCACCCGTCGAAGGCGACGGCGACGGCGGCGGTACTTTCAGCAGCGGCGGCGGCAGGGTTGCTACGGCGGAGATGTGTGCCATCCGTATTCTTGCCACGTAGGTTCCACGTACAGTGGAGTCGGTCGAATCCGCTCTGAGACCGTTAACGGTAGGTTCCCAGCGGAGGTGGTCGGGTTACGGTTAATTTGCCTACACGCTAGGAAACGGCGTGCCGTGCAGCAGAACGGGCGCGTGAGTATCGGTGGATCTTCTGCTATGACACCATATAGCGTGGTGTATAGCAGACCTCACAATTGCGGACACTTAATCACGAACTGTTCGCACTTTATTCACGTTACTTGTTCAGTAACCGATCCAATAACTCACGATTTAGCTCCTCGGAGCGCCACTTACACCAAATCGACCGAACTTCAATAACTTTTTGTGAGGAATTTTTAAAATGACTTAATTGTTTCCTGGTCCCTACAAGAGTGATCGAGGCCTTGCCGATCCACTCCTATCCAAGCCATCCATCTCCTATTCCTTTTCTCTTCCATCCCATCCTCTTCTTTTCACTCCCGGATCCAGTGCTGATGTGATGACTCCAATTCCCTTTTTGGTCCGCATTACTCCAACAACGGTTTTTTACACCACTTCATCTCTGGCAGTGGCTCCATAGTAGAATTAATTTTGAATTCATTTTAACAATACTAGGTATCATATTTATGTTTTTATATTTATGTTTTACTCGCAGTTTTCCATTATTACCAGCCCAAAAGGAAAAGTTCTAATTAATATCAAAATTCAAGAATACTTAATAAACAAAACGTAGCTATAAATTCGGACAGATGACGGTTCTTGAACGAATTATGCTCAGTGTAGCGGC